CCCCCCCCCCCCCCCCCCCCCCCCCCCTCCCAAAGCCCGAGAAGTCCGCCACGTACCATTTCTTTGTCTCGTGTCATATCATTGTCTTTCCTCGCCACTGTAGGGTCACTGAGAGCACAGTGCAGCAAAACGGCACAATCAGTCCTGTTCACGCGTTGGGTGAAGACTTTGCACCCAGCTTACTGCTCATGTGACATATGCCGCATTTGACTGTGGTGAGAACACTGTGCTCACCTAAGGAGTTCAGGTGGCAGCGAGCGGCCTTGAGTGGACCCCTTAAGATCATAGCGACGATGAATTTCCACTGGCGTGTGAAAGAAGTTCTCCATGACCATGAAATACGTCTTGCGCCTCCATGGCTCTGCATGCACCATCAACCACAGAAAATATGGTTTTGTTTTGGCCGGCGGAGCACGCTCAAGGTGTGGAGCATTTTCCCGAAGGTGCTCACGCTTGTGGCCTAGAATCTTCCCTGATTTGTCCTTGAGACGAAGCGCATGCAGTCCACACAGTCGGGTGAGCATCGTGTTGGTGCACGTCGACACGTGCTTGTAGTAGTCAAACAGGATGGACCGCATGAAGAAAGCCGTCTCCTTTGACACCTAAAGCAACGAAAATCAACGCCAGGCCAGGCGCCATATTGTGAATCGCTCTTGTCCCCTAAGTGAATGCTTGCACGCATCTGCTGGTATGTACTGCCGTTGTGGAGAGCAAACGAGTTGCGCTCCTACCGTCTTTATCATAAACCTCCCGTCCGTCGTGTAATAAAATAGAGAGCCACTCTTGCCTTCCGAGACCAGTTCAGAAAGTGACGACAAATTCCCTGAGAAAAAAGAGAACTTTGCGGCTCAACCTGTTCACAAGGCGCGCTCACAGTGTTTCTCCTTGCAGTGAACAAAACCCCCGGAAGCTACACCGACCTAAAATCAAATTTCCAAGCAGCTGCTCTGGGCCGACAGATCGGATGTAGCCGAGCGAGTCGATGCCGAAAATAGCGCGGAGACGCCGGAACACCATCGGAGCGTAGTCTATAAATCGGACTGCGCACTGCAGTAAATCACAAAAACCACACGCCGCCTTGTAACAGCAGCTACATCAACGGCAGTAGCTGCAGCAGCGGCAAGAGCTGCAGCAGCAGCAACAGCTGCAGTAGCTGCATCAGCAACAAAAGCTGCAGCAGCAACAGCTGCAGCAGCAAAAGCTGCAGCAGCAACAGCTGAAGCAGCAACAGCTGAAGCAACAGCCGTCCCGCATCCTGTGGGTTCAGGATTTGGGGTTCGCCCTCTTCGCTCAACTCACCAACGAAGGCTTCCGCCGTGACCTGTCCACCATGCCAGTCTTGGGTAGCACCGAGAACTTTTCTTTCATCAGGAAGTCATAAGGCTCGACAGCTCTGTGGGGTTCGCTCATAGCTCGCGCGCCCGCTAGTCGGATGCCGACCATGATGTTAATGACCATGTTCCACGACTCATGACCAAAATGAACCACAAAGCCCTTGGTGTCTTTTCCACCCGATCTGCACAAACACACACACACACACACACACACACA